ACAACATCATGGAGAAGGGGTGGGTACAAACAAATTTTGAGCCTTAAATCTTTTTTCTGAAACCGTGAACCAGACTACGTTACACCCCTTGAAATTCCTAAATGAAGCATGGGTTAATTCGAAAGCGTACTATAAAGAGAGTACGGTAATATGACTCCTATGAGGCTTGCTCAACAGTTTTGAGTTGGTATCACTCCATCTTTTTACTTTCTTTCATACAAGAAAATTTGATGTTTCGACATCTTTTCAATAAAAGTTTTTTAACTTCAAGACAAGCATAAGATTTGCATTAGATTTTTCATTCTCATAATAAACATACTTTACATGTAAACAAGTTCTTAACATCAAGTTAGCTTTCATGATGAGAAACAAATGAAGAGTTTATTATCCCGATGGACAAATTGCTTCGAAAAATATCCGAAGAGCAAATCGTCTTGAAGAATGATCTTAATCTGGGGCAGACCTTAAATCGACTCTGTTGAATAAAAGAAGACCAATTTGAGAAATGATCCAAAGAATTTTTGAAGATTGAAAAAGTATGATCGCCTAGAGGTCTCTGTTTAGAAAGGGTATATGATTTTCAGTTGGTCCTAAGGGACATATTGATTCAAGTATTTGTTTGATCATGAGGTAGATCAGAGTCAGAAGCATGGTTATGAAGTAGCCTAATTTCAAGACATAAGTCAATCACCCCGAAGGAGGTGATGTCTTCAAAACCCCATGAGCTTTTCATTCCTACGTAAGCATGAGGCTTAGAAATAGGTTGTCAATACTCCATTGAGAAGAGGCAAGATATTTCGATGATGATACTTCGTTGAGCAGAAGTAACTCAGAGTTTGATTACCCTAAGGGGGAAAAGCTTGTGAAACTCTATGGAGTAAGATTTCACTCAATATGGGGAAGTTATGTCAAGATTCAAAGAATCTCTCAAAGTGTTGAGTAATCAGGGGCATTCACCCAAGTGTTATTGAAGCCATCTCCAACTTTGGTTAGTGAGGGGAAGTGTTCTGAAGTTCATAACACTGGGGCAAGTTATTTTTTATGGAACATGTCTTAGGAAGTCCTCTCAAGGCAAGTTTCTTCAAAATCCCTACAGACTGGGGCAAGGAATTATGCAAGGGCATTCCTCCTTTTCAAGAGTCAGACAGGTTAAGTCCAGGCACAGGATAAATAACTTATGAATTCAAAGAGCATGTCGGGAAGTCAAGTATTGGCATTCCTCAACAGAAGCATGATTCATTATCTTCATCTCATGCATGATTTAAGTCCAGGTTGTTGGCACTCCTCAACAGAAGCCAGGATATTAATCCTCCATAGAAGGCAGAGATTTAATTCCAGTTTATTGCATTCTTCAAAAAAAGTCAGAAGGCTTCATTCTTTGAGTTCCCATCAGATATCTTCGCCTCGAAACATTTGCATATAGTAATCATTGATGAATTGCATTGCAACCTCACTAGCGCGTAGCATTTCCATTAATATGGATCATTACACTAAAAAAATATCAAACATGCATTGAAGCATAAGCCAAATTTAAGTCTTTTTCAAGCACCCCTTTCTCCCCAAGTTGAGCTGGTGAAACCTCTCAGAAGAGAACTTTATCCATCAAAAATCCCAAGTGGTATTACCCATAGTTTTTCCTCAATCATACCTTCTTTTTGTTGCTATATACAAGCATTATTGAAATCATGTCATTCAAATCCATGATTCGATTCATTTACCAAGCGTATTTCTTTAAGAAAACTCTTGTTGCATTATTTTTACATGTATTTGCCTATGCAGTTCGAGTGCGAGTCAGAGTTAGTGTATAACCTGTCTTACTTCTCATTGTTTGAGTATCCATACTTTGTGTGTGGCAATTCTGATAATTGTCACTCTTGAAGAATTATACCCCACCTTTGGCCCGAGGGATAATGTAGTTCTTGTGCTTTTGCAAACATAATTACCCTCTTGAAGACCGACCTAATTTGGCAACCCTTATCAGAGTCTCTTTTTCATTAGTAAGTTCACCTTTTCGATCGGCGTTCTATTCAGAGTCAATGTCTATTTGTATCCCCAGGTAAGTTCGCTTTTGATCAGTGTTCTTGTTTTAAGAGTCTACCTTCGGTTAGTATTCCTTGTTAGAGTCTCCTCTGACTAGTCTCTTCTCTCTGTATGTCTTCCCTTGGTATGGCGTATACTTAACTCCTGAGTTTGTCATTTTATTTCCTCTTCAATTGTTGATTCGCGAGTTTGTTATTTTATTTCTGCTTCGATTGATGAGTCGTGATATTGTCAGTTTGTTTCCTCTCGCTGAGTCACGTGCTTGTCATTTTATTTCCTCTTTGATTACTGAGTCGCGAGTTTTTCATTTTATTTCATCTCCGATTGCTGATTTGCGAGTTTGTCATTTTATTTCCTCTCTGAATGCTGAGACGCGAGTTTGCATTTTTTTCCTCTCTGATTGCTGAGTCGCGAGTTTGTTTGTTTGTTTTCTCTCTGATTGTTGAGTCGCAAGTTTTTCATTTTATTTCCTCTCTAATTGTTGAGTCGCGAGTTTTTCAGTATGTTTCCACTCTGATCTGAGTCGTAAGTTTGTCATTTTATTTCCTCTCTGATTACTGAGTCATGATTTTATCATTTTATTTCCTCTCCAATTGCCGAGTCGCGATTTTTTCATTTTATTTCCTCTCTGATTGCTAAGTTACAAGTTTGTCATTTTGTTTCCTCTTCGATCTGAGTCACGAGTTTGTCATTTTATTTCCTCTCTGATTGCTGCAAATGGAGTTTGTCAGTTTGTTTCCTCTCCAATCTTTGCGTCACGAGTTTGTCACTTTGTTTCTTCTCTGATTCCTAAGTTGTCAATTTTTTTATCATATACTACCCCAACATTTGATTTTCAACTCTTTTTTTATCACTTATGTTGAGTCTTCTATTCGTGAATCTTTATAATGTATGTTCTCTGCCTATGGCAGGAGAAGTCTTATTCCCCAGCAGGGTTTATATTCACCTTTTACAATTATGTTTGGTCAAGCATCTTTTCCATCTTTCATTCATCTTTTGCATATATGCAACACAACTTCTCTTTCCTTCGAGGAAATCCTACGGGAATAGCATACCATTACCCGCCAAAACTTGTTAATGGAGAAATCCAAAAAGAAAAAAAAACATTGCATCATACACCCGTTCTTCATAGTGTAAATTTTCAGGTTCTTTTAATATTTAATCTTCTTCTACCTTGAAGGCTCGAAAGGCTATCGTCAATCTCACCTCCAGGTTTAAGATATTTAAATAGGGGTAGTTGTTGCACCATAAAATTTTCCTTCCTATCTTGCTTTTATCTGGCGTAGGCTTTTCATTTTCATCAGCATAACACACATGCATCCATAAAGCACTTTGGTTCAAAAACATCAACAATATTAAAGTTTTACAACATTTGAGGTGTACATGCCCCGTAAAGTCTGATTTCTTGTATTTCTTCTACAAGCAGTGAAATATGAAAATTAGGGTTTCTTTGGACTCCGAGGATCTAATCTTATTCAAGGGATATTCTCCATCCAATTTCATCAATGTCAAAAGCTATTAGGTTTTATTTCCCTATGTGTGGTCAAAGATTCAAGTTGATTCAAAGAAGTTTTCTCTCAAACTCAACATTTCATAGTTCAAGTTCAGAAATTCATATCTTCTTCATTATTCAACATTTTTTAGTGATTTATTTAGACATATGAATCTCCTTGACACCCTCTCCAACTTCTCTTTACAAGTCAAGAGCCGATTATGTGTAGAAGATCTTCAATAATTTGATTACTTTAGAGGTCATTTTATGGATTTGATTTAATTCCAGAAGATTATTTCCCAACTTGCAAGGATCGTAACTTACTCAATTTTCAACATTCTTAGAAGATTATTTTTGCATATTGTCATGATTGAGATTATCTACGAGTTTGCTTCAAGGGTCAGATTCAGATTATGCTTGGAAGACCATGAAATCATTTGAGACTTTACAGGTCAGTTTCAGGTTTAAAGATTCTGAAATTGCAATTCATGATATCATAATTCTTGTGATCGTTAAAATCCAAAGATTCAAAGCCATTAAATGCGATTCAAGGACTCAAGCCCGTTTCAGGTTTTCTTTTTTGGTCAATTAATGTTTATCTTTCTATTATTCAAAAAATCTCCAAAAAAATATGTTTCATTTTCATTTCTATTCAAAAAAAAAAATCTCTACATAATTTTATATTAACTTTTAGTTTTAATTTTAATTAAAATTAAAATATTATTATTATTAAAATTTTTTTTAATATAAAATATTTTATAATTCATTTAAGTCGTTTTTATTTTTATTATGATACTAACCAATTATTATAAATACTATTAGTATTATTTTATCATTTTTGTAATTACTAAAAAATTTCTTTTTCTAATATTGTTTTTTTCCTATTATTATTATACTTTTATTGATGTTCAAGAATAGGAAATTGAGAAATTGCAAAGTGGGACCATTCAGGCCAACACACGGTTTATATAACTTCAAGCAAAGTCACGATTTCACACCAATTCAACTTCAAAATTTTCAATTGTTACATTGGCATTGCAAGCTAGTTTTATACACCAAATTACAAATCATCTCATGCCCTCATTCAAATTCATCAAGGGCTACAATTGTTGTAAAACTATTCACATGGATCATGGATAACAAACTCAACTCAGCCATTCATCCATACTTATCAAAGGCCTCGAATCCTCCTCACAAGATGGCACGGATCCTCCCAAACTTCACCAAAATCTCAATTCCAAAAAACAAAATTTCCTCTTCAATTTGAATTCTTGCCACACTTTTTTTATCCTATTTTTTACCCAATTCACACCTATATAATCACCACTTCAGAACAAAGAAAAGGGAGGAAGAAAGATCCTAGAAATTCTGCACACAAAAAAAGTGATAAAGTCTTCCTCCAATTACTTGTCTAAATCTCCACCTGCATAATTGTTTGACAGAAAAGTCCTCCAAGAAAATATCTATATCATTTCTGCAAATTGCATCAGAGCAACAACCGCATCAACATCAATACAATCATTTCCAGATTTTTAGAACATAAGGATCAGAAGTAGTCGAGGAAGCATTATTACCTTTGGTTTTCTTTATTGTTTCATCATCAGTATCGACATCAAAATCCTCGGACTAGCTCTGAGCTTGTGAGTTTTCGATTCCTTTATTTAAATATGTTCCTTGATATGATGTTGTTAATAGTAATTGCTTTTGTTGTGCCATAATTGGGGTTGTTGTTTTGTTGTTCTGTAAGAATCAAATATGAACCGTGAGCATAGGTTGTTGTTATTTTTATGATTTACAAACAAAGAAGTTTTATTTGTTGTTGTTGCTTGAATATTGGATTCAGCGTAAGAACCGAAACTGCGAGAATCGGGATGTAGTTGTTCTTCAGAAATTTGAGAAAAATAAACCAAATGAATGGTTGTTGTTTTGAGTGAGACTGCAATAGAGAAGGTCAAAACCCAATGTTTCTTTTGTTGTTGTTGTTCCATCGTGAACTGAGAATCACCACGAGATAGCATGAGAAATTTTGATTTGCTGTTGTGATTCACTGAGAGAGAAATTGAGACCGAAGATATGTTGTTATTGTGAGCGTAGTATCATAGATATTTTTGTTGAGCCCAGAACAGAGAGAGCAAATAGGCTGAAATTTCTTATTGTTGTTTGATTCAGGAAGAGAGTATTTTTGAGAAAAGAAATAAGAGGTTGTTGTTGTTGTTTGATGGCGGAAGGAGTAGGAAGCGTGAAACTGAGATGGAGAAATTTTCTGAGGAAAAGATTGAGAGGAAGCAGAAGAGTTATAGCGTGAAAGTTGGGAAAAAACAGATGAATTGTGAAAATATAGCGTGAAAGAGAAGGTGTGCAACCACTTATTAGTTATTAGGGGTTTTTTCTCTTCATTTTGTTTGGCCTAACCCAAGTCCAACCCGACCCATTTCATTTGTTTATTTTATTTTGTTTGGGCTTTGACCCAAATACACTAAACCCAAATCTGAAACCCAACAACATAAGTCCATCCGCCCAGCTTGCATATAGTGGCCCAGCGAATTATTTCCCATGCACCCCCCCCCCACATTCTGCTTATTTTCGGTCTAGTTTTCAATTCTTTTTTTATATTGTTGGGCCTCATCCCACTACTTAAGTCTAGCGAATTATTCACCATACACCCCCCCCCCAATTTGTTTTAATTTTCTATTTTCTTTTCTATTTTCTATTAATTGTTTTGATTATTTTTTTCTTGTCACTAATTTTCTCTTATTTCCTTCACATTCAAAAAATGTCACAAAAAGTTTTAGAATAGTATTTTATTTCCTTTTTCTTTTAATTTCTTTATTTGAATAAATGATCATAAAAAATATTTCAGAATGAGATTTTTATTTCCTTTTGCTCTTAATTTTCTTCATGATAAAAAATTCCAAAAATAATTGAGAAGTAGGATTTCATTTCCTTTTAACTTCTAATTTCTTTTCACAAAAAATATAAAAATAGTAGATTAAGATTTCACTTCCTTTTGATTTAATTTTCTTAACAAGATAAAACCACACAAAATATTAGAGTAGGTTTCTAATTTCTTTTGACTTCTAATTTTCTTACATGAAAAATCACAAAAATATAGTTAGAATTTTAATTCTTGTATTTTAAATATTATTTGTTTGGTTGATTATGCCATGATCCTTTGTTCCCTCTCGATGAAATCTTGTGATTAATTCTGAATAAGTTTTGGTAAGTCTCTACTCATATTGATGTGTGATTGACTAATTGTCATATTCTCCCGTCTTACCTTGATGACATGATATCTTGGTTAAGTGTTTGTTTCTTGAGTAAAGTTTACACTTCTCGCGTGATATCTTTCTTGATTTCATTATCTTATTTAAGTATTTGATTGCTTGCTTGATTCTTCTTCTTCTTCTTCTTCTTCTTCTTCTTCTTCTTCTTCTTCTTCTTCTTCTTCTTCTTCTTCTTCTTCTTCTTCTTCTTCTTCTTCTTCTTCTTCTTTATATTTCCATATTCTCCATAAGATCTTTAGCTTATTCTTCTCCAAGTTTGAAATAAATAGGCCTTAGGTTTGTTATCCATGCATAACAATATTAGGTAGATCTCCCTCTTGTCCCAACTTTAGATCCACAACCATGATAACTTATAGGATTAAGATCCTCTTTTGTTAGTCTTTTCTCTTTTGCATCCATGTTAAAACTAAAAGCTTCTTTTTCTTTCAAATTTGTCAAAACACTTAATAAATAAATATGAGAATCACACTTCTGTTAAGAAATGAAAATGATAAGTGGATTTCTTCTCGATCTTATCATTCTTTTATTCTTAGTATTTTGTGTGGTTCAAATCTCAAAGACTATTTTCATAAAAAGTGAAGAAATGGTTAAATACCTCTCTCTTGAGGACAATTAACTATTATTCGCAACAAAAGTACCAAGCAATACAGACCATTTTGTCTTCAGACTATTTGTTTTAAAACTTTTTCAAAAAAGACATGTTTCGCTAGCATCATTCATAAAAAACATACAACACATCGAACCTTTTTAGGTGATCTACAAGTGCCTTGACCCCCATTGCACGGTCAGTGGTACGTAGGCACAAAGGTTTGCAACCACGGAAGGCACGACAAATAAAAACTTTATTTGGTATATACTTTGCATGTATTCCCTTTTAGCATTAAGCTTTAAACATATATTAGATACACCCTTAGACTAGAACAAACTTAAGTGGATCTTGTGGAGTACCACAAACGTGAGTACCTTCCCCTTGCGTAACCGACTTCCTTACCCTTTTTCTCTTGGTTGTGAGAGCATCCTCTTTTCCTTCCCCCTGGTTTACTAGGTTTTTCATTTACCTCTCTTGGGATAAATAACATTGATGGTGACTCTTCTATCTTTTCTCCTTCCTTCGCGCTTTGATGAAAATCCCAGACGCGACAAAACCATCCTGACAATAATGTGATTTTTTGGTGTCATTGTATGAAATGTTATAATATGAAAAAAAAAAACATCCAAGTGATGCTATATTCTTCCATTATGATTATCATGGATTTATTCAAAATTACACGAAATGGGTATGGCATGGTGAAGAGACAAAAAAGAGACATATGTCACATAAAGTTGATGATGAAGATGATGAATTTATGAATGATAATCTAGATGACATCATTCGTGATATTGGAGTATAGATGCTTTCAAGAAAGATAATATGGTAGATACTTTACGAAGAGACATGGAAGATTCATTGTACCCGAGATGTCAAAGATTGACAAGATTGTCAGTTATATTATGACTATTTAATCTTAAGGAATAGGGTGGGTGGATAGATAAATGTTTAATTGAGTCGCTTCAATTGTTGAAAGAAATGCTTCCCGAAGGTAACATGTTTTCGAACCGTACTTATGAGACCAAGAAGATATTGTGCCCAATGGGTTTGGACTATGTCAAAAATACATACATGTTGTAATGATTGCATCTTCTATAGGAAAGAGTTTGAAAACTTAAAGAAGTGTCTGAGGCATGGAGAGTCGTGCTACAAGTAGAAGGACAATGATGGTGCAACTAGCAAGGGAATTGAAGATGATGATGAATGCAAGTAGCAAGGGTGTTCCTGCCAAGGTGATGTGGTACCTATCGATAATTCCAAGGTTCAAGAGATTGTTTTCTAATGTTAGTGACACTAAGAATACTAGATAGCATGCAAATGAAAGAGTGTGTGATGGGAAAATTCTCCTTGTAGCTGATTCAGTGCAGTGGAAGAAAACTAATTCATTGTTTCCAGATTTTTCCCTTGAACCGAGGAACCTTTGGCTTGGACTTTCCACAGAAGGAATGAACCCTTTTAGTAATTGGAGTGCTAACCATACGTCAAGGCATGTTCTTCTCATAATATACAACTTATCAGCATGATCGTGCATGATGCACAAGTATATGATACTATCGATGATGATTTCGGATCCAAGACAACCATGGAACGACATATATGTTTATTTAATGTCATTGATTGAAGATTTAAGACTTTTGTGGGAGGAAGGTGTTGATGTTGATGATGCATATTTAGATGATAACTTTAAGTTGTGTGCCATGTTGTTTGGCATAACTAATGACTTTCGTGCATACAGTAATTTGCATGGGTACATGATCGTCAAAATATCAAGTGTACTATTTTGTCTCTTATAGTAATAACAGGGAAATTCCCCGAATGTCAATCTCAAGGACTACGTGCAAGTATAAGTTCAATTTGTGGTTCAATTAAACAAAACTTAATTGTGGTTTGGTTGGAAATTTCATCTTAAGAATAACAAAACTAAGTAGAATGTAAAATATGGATTTTTCACAATTATGAGCAATATGCTAAGGAAAAGTGTATGATTTGACCTATAATAACCTTGACTCTTGATTTCTTCAACAAGCTCATAACCTTCAATTACCAGCCCTTTAAATTATTTTCCCTTAAGTCCTTGGTGAGAAAACCTTTGAACCTTCATCCTAAATCCCAAGTCCTTAGAGATTTCTGATGGAGTCAAGCCTTTGTTTTATCAAGAATTATCTAGTAACTATAGGGTATCCATAGTCCTAGGTGATATCTATTATAACCTAATCTTATAAAAACCTTAACAATGGGGGTCCAGCCCTAATTGTTAACTGTGATCAATCCCTATTTGTCAGATTGGAAAAGCATAAGAACATTGAACGATTAAATTGAAAAGAAACTATTGTATTAAAATCAAGCATTCAACACCATTAAAATTGAAAATCAGGGCCACCCCCTAGAATTAGGGGTTTATATACTCGTGATAGTTTTAAAAAGAATTTCATATTCAATAGAAATAGACATTACAATTTATGGTGAACTTTATTTTCAATGGCTTACGCTCATGAAAAGTCTTCTGTCCTCCATCAATTGCATAAGCTCCAATCTCCAATCTTCCTAATTCCTCGTGTGCAAAAAAAAACTATATGGTTTGTCGTAGAAAATGTCTCACATAGTGAAAAACCCTTGATTCCGGTATGAAAATTCAAAAATTCCCTTACGGGTCAGAACTAATGTAAAATCACGAAAATACTGAAAATCAACGCATCTGCCAACACGGCCCGTGTCAGCTGACACGGGTGGCCGTGTTGGCCATTCTGAAGCTTCATAAACATTAAATAATAACATCTGCTAACACGGCCCATGTCAAGTGACACGGGTGGCCGCATCAATCCCCTGAGTTTCTCCATGCTCCATAGCTTCCCTCCTGACACGACCCGTGTTAGGTGACACTGGTGGTCGTGTCAAGCCTGCTGAAACTTCAATTTTTCCTTTTCGAAACTTCCAATTTCTTGATGTCTATCGCACCGAGTAACTTGGGTCTTTCATATGAATCTGAAACAGTCACAACAAACAACCAAAGCATAATACGCACAAATACTCGAAATAAACTAGAAATCCTAAAATACTAAAGAGACTAAATAAACATCAAAATGACTCAAACGATAAACAATACAAAAAAAGTGAT